GGTGGGGGGTGGGGGGGGTGCAGTCTGCTCTACATGCTACCACTGCTTTTGTTATTATTGAAATCACTAATAAGTAATAATAAAATAAAATGTCTTCTATTATTATTTCAGCACTGGACAGGAATAATGGATCAGACGAATTCCATTTGTTTTATAAAGGCATTAAATAGAACAGCTTTCCTTCATCTGGACCTGCTTGAGGAAGTACTGGAAAAAACTAAAGTGGGTATTTATTGTACAAGTATCAGTATGCAAATACCACAGTATGGTGGTTTTAATTGAGTCATCTAATACAATAACTAATAAATAGTAATAATGAATATTATTATTATTTTTTTGTTTAACATGTTTTTAATTTTGCAGGATACAGAAGTAATTTTGTCTTCCCCTGTTGAAAATGATAACTGGATAGCTAGACCCTTGACAATGTTAGAGAGACGAGGATTGAGCCTAGACATTCTTCATGAATGTGTAGCACGTGGCATGCCTCTTCTTCATTTAGTGCAGAACGAAACTGCATCAGGTAAAACAATTTATTTGCCTAATTGATTTGACAGTGATGTTATTGAATGATTTATAAAAGCCAGATTCCAAAATTTTGGCAACACTGCATGCATCTTTTTTCATTGATTTTTCCCCTGCTGTCAATTTGCTTTGTGCAATTTAAAAAAATGGTTGCAAAGCTGGGCCTTCCCCAGTGCATAAATTATTTAATAGTTTTTTCAATTTGGCAGGTAGAAATAATTTGTCATTATATACAGACACTGAAAGTGTTATTCTTATTATCTGTCTGTTCATGTTGTTACTGTTCAACACATTTGTTTATCCCAAAACTGCCAAATCATATTTATTTACAATGTGTCCTTGTTTTTTTTTAAAATTCTGATCACTAATATTTGATTAACCAAAAAATTTGAATTTTAATGAAAAAGAATTTCACGTCAAAGTCTTTGCACCCAATGTAAACAGCTTCAGCCATTGCAATTTAAAAAATTCTATTCCATTCCATTATTTCTTTTGCCAGGTTGCCAGCATGCCTGTGTTCCACGCTTTGCTTTGGAGAGAAACACCACCAGTCCTTCTGGTTTCACTCTCAAAATGGTATCCAAAGACTGTATAAGCTATAGCTCCAACTGCCAAACATGAGTTTTAGTTCTATAAAACACATTTTTATATATTTCTAATGTTTTTACAAGAAATCCTAAGATGCATTGTCCTGAAAGTGAAGTCTCTGAACACTGTATCAGCCCAGGGAATTATATCCGATATAATTCCCTGATCAACCTTGGCAGCATTATTTAACATAAAGTCTCAGTCCCATAAAGGTATATAAACAAATAACTTGAAGGTAATTTTAATATGTCTTTCTATGGTCATGATGCTGTACTTTAGTCTTTGGTAGGGGTACATTTGAGCTTTTCTGCCATTTTTATAAGCTTTTTATAATGAAGCAGGCAATCGAGGAATTGTTTTGTCATGGATCCTTAACACACGATGCCTAATGCATAATGCCTGAGACATTACACTTACGTTTGTCAGGATGAATAAGGGTTGACTTGAAACAGCTGATATTAAACATGAAACAGCTAGTCTCTCAAATAAAAATCTCTCTGAAATGTGCATCTCCTCTTCAACTACAAATTTCATATCACAATATACTGAAAATTGCTCTGAATGTAGCATGTTTATCACTTAAACTTACTTTTTCTTCCTTTGAGCTCTTTAATCTCATTTTTTTTATGCAGCAACAAAAGAGAATTATTTTTCTAATATGAATAGCCATTTTTCATTTGTTGAGACTGTGCAGTTTACATGATTGCATTTTACTTGTTTATTACTTTAGACAACTTACAAATGACTTTTTAAGTTCTTAAATTAATTGTCTAATATATGTTTAAAATAGTTACAAAAAGTTTTTGTGAATGCACTTTTATACAAGTGTGTATTGAATGTAAAAAGGTGCTTTGGTTTTGCCAAGATACTATATAGGCTAGAAAAATATGCAGATATGTATATATTTTATATTCTGTAATCTATTATAAAGAAGTCAATAATAAAGCATGATAACCCATATTTATTGGTATAATTGTATTTGAATTTCCCTTCAATAAAGCAATAATTACCAAAAGCAATGATATGGAATTACCAAAGTAGGATTTGACCTGCAAGCTAAAACATCTTTATTAAAGATTTTAACAAAAGAAAAAAGACTACATAAGATCTGAGATCTTAAGTCAAATCTTATACAGCTTTATGTAAAGAAAGTGAAAAGAAAAAAATCACAATGGAAGTATTGCTCCCACACGTAACTAGACAGCAATGTGTCTGTATACATACAGTGTCTGTATATTAAAATACTTATTGGGACAACGGTCAGAATAAATTTAAATGCATTGGGACCTTAAAGTGATAAAGTGTAGGATTTCAAACACAGGTAAAGCACATTATCTGAGGATATGTAAGACACCTTCCACACACCATTCACACACTGAGGAAAAATTCTTGCAAATAATGATTTAAAATATGTGTATTTTAAGAGACTCTTAGTAGGCTTAGCATATAACAAATTTACTTTTCAAGTCATATGAATGTTTTTTTTTTCTACAATTTCCCATTTTTTCTTTAGATCGGCTGCTTTTTGAGGACTCATAAATGCCATAAATCTATGTTGCAAAAGATAATCAAATTTACCCCCTTCCTGGGCCACCTGTCAACCATTTTTAATTGATAGTTTTAAATAGCATGGCAAATAAATAGCAAAACATTGCTTACGCATGTGTTATTCAGGACTTTTCGTTTCCCGAATTGTTACAGAGCTATGGAATGTGTCAGGAAAAGATAATCAAACCTGGTTAGTCTAAGAAAAATAGTGTTTAACACAGGAATTGTAAAGTTTGAGCATTTTTTTTTTTTGGGGGGGGGGGGGGGGGTCTACTGTACACTTTTGAAACATAATGTAGCATATTTAGGCTTTTGATGGTTGAATTGATACATACACATATCCTTGGAAAGATAATTGTATCATATAAACTGTGGGAACCTATCCTTAATGTTGTACTACACATAAAACTTATTCCAAGGCTTGTCAAAAATGACAATGGTATGAGTCTCACTTGTAAAATATAATGCTTAACAACTTCACAGAGTTGTTTTTAAATAGTCCCCATGATTGATACCATAACATGGTTCATTGTTCTTTATTGCAGCCCAGGACATACCCCCAGTTATGGTATAAACACCAATATCCCCACCAGGTGTCACTGTAATAAGCCCAGCAGCACCTGCTGCCTCCTCAATTCTTTTAGCCAGTTGGTGCAGGGCTTTCTCACTGGCCTGCTGGGCACTGTTACCTAGAGGATTAGATACAAACTTTATCACAAATATGTTGACATGTGTTTATCGTTTTTGTGAAGTAGTGTATACACATTTTGACAATTTAAATTTACTTATTAATTTTTACAAATATCTTTTTAGAAAGAAGAAATAATATAAAAATATGCCAGTCCATCGGTTAATGAAAGAACTACCTTTTGCTATGAGTTCAATGACCAATTTTGCTAGACATAACCGTGCTATAGCTTCCCCATGCCCTGTTGTAGACACTGCCCCATATTGATTGTCGGCATAACCACCAGCACCTGGGGTTAGTATATACAGCCAGTCAGTTTAAATAAGGATGTCAAGTTGTTATAATATAAATAAATAGTGTCAAGTTGCAATGATATTAATGATTAGTGTTAAAAATATTGATGCAAGGTAGACAGTATTTAAATGTGATGTCAGAGGCAGCATTTATGAGATTGTTAATATAACCGAAGATGATGTTACATGTATTCAGATGTGAATAAAAAGGATGTGCTTACCAACAATTGGAACATCTCCAACTCTCCCACACATTTTAGCAGTGATGCCACCAGTAGATGTCGCACTAGCCACGTTTCCAAGATAATCCACAGCTACAGCCCCTACTGTTTCATGTTCAGCACTCGATGAAGGTAGAGTTTCATGGAGTGCCCTAAGAACAGATACACAGAAGATAAAAGAATATTTGTAAGTTTTATGGTATGAGGCATTTCTGGAAGAAACCTGCAACTTGCAGTATTCTCAATGGGTTACATGATGATGGAAATCTTAAGAAAGCTGACTGCCCAGCAGATATCATGATACTGCCATAAAATAATTGTTTTACTTGTCTCCATATACATCTAATTTTACATCCATCTAATCAATAGCGATCTTCAAAATTGAATTTCACCCTAATTGACCTTGCATTTTAGTTGTTAAGTCTACAGAACATATTTTTATGGATAATAGACTCTAATAAATAAATGAATAAATAAATAAATTTGATTTTATTATTACTATCATTTAAGTTTCACATACTGTAATTTAACAAGCACCTCATATCAATGGCCTTTACAAAATTAACATTTTTTAATGCCTACCTTTTCTCGTATCCTCCTACAGTTGCTTTAGTATAGGATGATGTGTATGTCTTCAATGAATCTAAAGACCTTCCAGTGACAAGATATAATGGATCTACTTCCTGAATATTCATCTTTGAAGCAAAGACATTTGCACCCTTGTCTACTATCAACATGTGATCTGTCTGAATTGAAAACACTTATATGATAAGAATAAGAATACAAGTTGAGGAAATTTTAGATCAAAATAACAAATTAAATTTTAATGCTTTTATGTACACAAGAACACCATGGGTACATAAAGTAAATTTATATATTTAAGACATGATGTTATCCTAAAATATTCTATCGTGAGAGTTTTTGAAAGAAAATATATAATGGAAAGGCAATACAATAATAAATGGTTAAAGATTTTATTCAAAAGGGTTGCCAGGAAATACCACATTAAAACAATTTTTGATCATGTTTTGATACTCCTCCACTTGCATGTTCTCATACATCCAAAAACCTACAACATAAATGTCATCAAACTGTATCCCAACTGTTCTACTGTATATCTAATGCATTCTCACCTTGTCCATCACTAGCTTTGCAAGTTCTATAGCATTTTTTATATTTTTCACTGTTGCCACTGCACCAGAATTCAGTGTCTGCCCGTCACACACCAGTGCATCCATTTCTACAGTACCCGCCACTGTCAGTTTGGAGCCTGTGCCTTGAGGAAGATAATGAAGTTACTCACTGCAGGTAATTGTAATTATGAGTTATTCACTAACACCAAAAGAAAGACTCTCTGAAGAAAGACTTTTTCACTGAAATATTTCCTTTAATGCAACACACCATGGTGAAATGATCCTGGGAAAGAGTGGAACCAAGTACGATGTTAGAAAACATCTACTTGCTTTAAAAAAAGGTCCAAAAAATTTTAAATACCTGCATTAAATGAAGGATTATCTTCCATCACTTTGACAGCTACAACTACTGCATCTACTGCACTGCCTCCATCTTTCAGAACCTGATAGCCTGCTTTACTAGCAGCCAAAACCCCTTCTGTGTATGCTTCATACTTCTGACTGCCAGAAGGGATAAATCCTGATCCAGCACCCCCATGAACAACTATACAGGGTGTTACATCTGACTGCACAGCTGCTGGGGTGGGTGGAACAGAAAGCTAGATTTTGAAGAAAATTAAAAATAAATAAATAACACAAGACATGTGTGAACCCCAACTCTGAGTTTCATGGATATACCCAAAGAGTATGCCCGATCATCAGGTGTTTATTATATCATTTTCCATTATAGTGAAAATAATTCTAACCATTGTGCAACAGGCAAGCATGGACCATACTTAACATTACATAACTTGTATGTTGGAATTATTTAATTGAAAGTAGATAAAAATGGTGCATAGATTTTTCAGCACGATTACCAAAACAAGTAAAAGAGCAGACAAAAAATCTGTTTGTTCACAAACAAAGACAAATTACAATAAAAAGTCTCTCATATTCATTTATTGTATATAATGTAACATTATGTACATATTTTTGGAAAATTGAAACCAAAACTAAAGGAGTTACGTTGCTCACTTTTTGTGAACTATCCAGAACCCCAATTCCTTCTTCACCAGGATTCAGACCCCACTTTAGGTCCCCATTTCTCATGGCTGCCCATGCCATTCTCTCTGTGTTGAAATGCATGCCAAGTTCCCCTTTATTACTGACAACAACAGCGCCCCCTGTACCCTGCACCTTCCTGGACATTGAAGTTAGTGCTGCTTCAACGCCTTGCTGAGCAGTATGACCTAAAATAATGAGACAAAAAGCAAAACAACTAAATAACCACTATTCAAAGGATTTCTTTTTAAATAACTAAATATCCAAAAAATTAACTAAGTAAAAAATAATAAATAAAACAACAACAAGGGCAATAATTATAATAGTAAAGATTATAAAGCAATTTCTTAAAAAAGTTGATAAAAACTAAACATTTTCTCTTTATTGATAAAAACTTTTGCCTGTCTGTGCATAGCAGTTTTTATCTTTTGTTAAAGAGTGAAAGTAAGTATCTTACCGTCTGCCATAAGTTGAATAATGTGTCTGGCCAGGCACACCTTCAAGATGGACTCCCCATGACCTGTACATGACACAGCTCCTACATCATTGTCACAATATCCACCACTGCCTGGAGTAAGACATGGCAATTAGCATGTGAGTGATGTTAAAAGTATTACAAATTATACTGTGTAACATTATCATTATACACGTACCATCCCACATAAAATTCCTGACTGCTACACCACTATCATGATAAAATTGTGGCATTTATTACACCTTACGATGGACAAAAACTCCAAACTCTGTCTTATCAAGGCAATGTGTGAAGCTCAAATAAAATCACACATTTCTTTTTAAAAGAACAATAGTTTTTCAAATTATGNCCTATAGGAAATCCTATAGGAAATTTTCGTAAGGGAGGTAATTGTAATTATGAGTTATTCACTAACACCAAAAGAAAGACTCTCTGAAGAAAGACTTTTTCACTGAAATATTTCCTTTAATGCAAATGATCCTGGGAAAGAGTGGAACCAAGTACGATGTTAGAAAACATCTACTTGCTTTAAAAAAAGGTCCAAAAAAATTTAAATACCTGCATTAAATGAAGGATTATCTTCCATCACTTTGACAGCTACAACTACTGCATCTACTGCACTGCCTCCATCTTTCAGAACCTGATAGCCTGCTTTACTAGCAGCCAAAACCCCTTCTGTGTATGCTTCATACTTCTGACTGCCAGAAGGGATAAATCCTGATCCAGCACCCCCATGAACAACTATACAGGGTGTTACATCTGACTGCACAGCTGCTGGGGTGGGTGGAACAGAAAGCTAGATTTTGAAGAAAATTAAAAATAAATAAATAACACAAGACATGTGTGAACCCCAACTCTGAGTTTCATGGATATACCCAAAGAGTATGCCCGATCATCAGGTGTTTATTATATCATTTTCCATTATAGTGAAAATACTTCTAACCATTGTGCAACAGGCAAGCATGGACCATACTTAACATTACATAACTTGTATGTTGGAATTATTTAATTGAAAGTAGATAAAAATGGTGCATAGATTTTTTCAGCACGATTACCAAAACAAGTAAAAGAGCAGACAAAAAATCTGTTTGTTCACAAACAAAGACAAATTACAATAAAAAGTCTCTCATATTCATTTATTGTATAGTATGTAACATTATGTACATATTTTTGGAAAATTGAAACCAAAGCTAAAGGAGTTATGTTGCTCACTTTTTGTGAACTATCCAGAACCCCAATTCCTTCTTCACCAGGATTCAGACCCCACTTTAGGTCCCCATTTCTCATGGCTGCCCATGCCATCCTCTCTGTGTTGAAATGCATGCCAAGTTCCCCTTTATTACTGACAACAACAGCGCCCCCTGTACCCTGCACCTTCCTGGACATTGAAGTTAGTGCTGCTTCAACGCCTTGCTGAGCAGTATGACCTAAAATAATGAGACAAAAAGCAAAACAACTAAATGACCACTATTCAAAGGATTTCTTTTTAAATAACTTAATATCCAAAAAATTATTAAGTAAAAAATAATAAATAAAACAACAACAAGGGCAATAATTATAATAGTAAAGATTATAAAGCAATTTCTTTAAAAAGTTGATAAAAACTAAACATTTTCTCTTTATTGATAAAAACTTTTGCCTGTCTGTGCATAGCAGTTTTTATCTTTTGTTAAAGAGTTAAAGTAAGTATCTTACCGTCTGCCATAAGTTGAATAATGTGTCTGGCCAGGCACACCTTCAAGATGGACTCCCCATGACCTGTACATGACACAGCTCCTACATCATTGTCACAATATCCACCACTGCCTGGAGTAAGACATGGCAATTAGCATGTGAGTGATGTTAAAAGTATTAAAAATTATACTGTGTAACATTATCATTATACACGTACCATCCCACATAAAATTCCTGACTGCTACACCACAATCATGATAAAATTGTGGCATTTATGACACCTTACGATGGACAAAAACTCCAAACTCTGTCTTATCAAGGCAATGTGTGAAGCTCAAATAAAATCACACATTTCTTTTTAAAAGAACAATAGTTTTTCAAATTTTGAATTATAAATTATACCAATGAGTGGACTGTCCCCTACTCTTCCTGCCATTTTTGCAGTTATTCCACCAGTAGAAGTTGCACATGCCACATTTCCATTGCTATCCACTGCCACTGCCCCTACTGTATCATGATCAGACTGTCTGAAAATCAATTCCACATTTCAAGATGAAACCAGACTCCAAATACTATCCAAATACTGGCACCCTTCTGTCTTCATGCAGAATTAAACTTAATTCAATTATCATACTTGATTTTAATTTTAATGTGAGAAGATGATTCAGTACTTTGTCTTACTACATTAGTGCACTTAATAAATGGGACAGTAAAAGCAAAATATATCACCATCATTGCACCTACTTTTCTCCAATCTTTAATTAAAATTAATTTAATTTAAAATTAATCTTAAGAATGTAAACATCACCTCAGAAAAAAAAATCACACCCTTACAACCTCAAAACTCATACCTTTCTCTAAACAGAACTTTTACAGTTTTTCTGAACTGCATGTAAGTCTCCCACTCTCTTTTGCTCTCTTCTGTGACCAGTATTTCAACAGGAACCTCTTCTATTCCCTGACTTTTAGCAAATGTATTAGCACCTTGGCCTGATAGAAGAACATGGTCAGTCTGCGAAAAAAAAAAATAAATAAATAAACTCATGGTTATCACAAACTGGTAATTAAAGAAGCTTACAGTAAACAAACTCAACACTCACAAAACTTACAGATAAACTTTAGGGTGGCCCATTTCAGTACTACAGTTGTATTCAATTTTCTTTTCTGTAGCAAGAAAATTACATTATACAAATGAACTATTTTATATTTCCTGGTGAGAATCACACTCAGGAAATAATAAAAAAATAAATTAAAAACATAATAAGAGACATATTGTATTATGTTGTGTTCTGTTGTGTTGTGTTATGTTTTGATAAAATCATATGTGGTAAAGAACAATGACTCATTTTATCACTGATGAAATAGAAGCTTAAAACATTCATAAAGCAATAAGTATATGATTACAATAAACTCTTCTTCATCAAATCAAATATTATTACATTTTCCATGACTAGTCTAGCAAGTTGAACTGGGTTCTTTATGTTCTTCACACAGCAAACTCCACCTGCTGCTAGAGACTTTCCTTCCATTATCATAGCATCTAACTCTACTTCTCCATCTTCATTCAGTACAGCTCCAGTGCCTAAATACACATGCATCTCTTGTTAATATGAATATTTCTCACCAAATGTGAACAATATTGACTGATTACTTTTGCTAGACAGACCCATTACTTTTTTCTAGATAATGCCATAACTATTACAGCACTGAAAGACATGTAACACTTTGTAACAAAGGCAAGCATATACTATCCATCACTATTAATACTTTGTTTCTGCATGTGAAACGGGAAATCAAATATTTAATATGTGCTAGAATACCTGCATCAAAAGCAGGGTTATCTTCCAGTAATATAACAGCTGCTTCCACAGCATCCAAGGCACTTCCCCCTCCCTGTAGAATCTCATATCCTCTCTGTGCAGCTTCTTTCACTGCTAGCACACTGGCCTCGGCCAGATTATCTGGGATAGCCCATGCTCCACCATGGATTACTATTGCAGGTAACATCTCTGACTGTTGATGGTGTGTATATATATATAAAAGCTGGAATAGAAGACGAATTAAGTTTTAAATACACTGATGGTATATGTTTGGAAATCACTGGTGGGATTCTAGCCATCCTAGCTGACTGCTTCCAAATTAAAATTAGAAAAGAAAGCAATCAAAACAGCTATCCAAGATAACAGCATGATGATAAAAATAATGATTTCATATTAAATTGTTCAAATTGTTAATAGTTCAAAAAGTCACATTTTTATTAACAGAAGAAAAATACAGGGTCTATTCACTCCCCAGCAATTAAGTGCATGCATGATGGTACAATCTATTTAGAGCACCCAATCTACCTGTGTTATTAAAATATAAACAGCTGCCTGTCATCATAGACACCTAAATGCACTTTTTTATGATGGGCTTTTTGCACAAATGTCAAAAATCCTGTATACTTCCAGCCTTACAAAGAACCAGGATGCATTTCTTTGAAGCATTTTAATGAGAGCATGAGGTTTTTGAGCGCTTTCTAACTTGTATTAATACCACCCCTCCACAAACTTCACTGGTGGTATGTTAAGTCTGACTCAGTTATGTCATATTTTTCAGTTGCCTTAAATGGTTGAAAATCAAAAGTCACAAATCAAACCATTAAGTTGCCTAATGGCACGGGTGCGATTAATCTATATCTGTACAGCCGAAGTCCACCTACAGCACGTAGGAGTATTATAACGGCTAGGATTAAACTCACCTCACAGATAAACGAAGATAACGCTATGCACTATGAAACCGAAACCCCCTATGAAACGATGTCCCTGTTTGTTGCAGCAAGTTTCTTAGCAAACCAGTCCCTTTTCTTCTTCAAATAAGAAACGCGCCAAGTCTTCAGCTTGTACCCAACGAACACTCCAGTTAAGAAAGCAATACCAGCTATGATCGCTAATTTCTTATCTTCGGGGCTCATGGTATTCGGTAAAGATAATATGAGCTCTTTGGTGTGCTAGTCTCGATTGCCGCGATTAAGGGTTCGTCGTCTCTTTTAGCCTCGTTTATGGTACCTTGATAACAGTGTATATGCTCTCTTTGAACGAGGCTTCTTGGCGGGGAAAATCACCAAATGATCCATTTATATATTCTAAACCCAAAATGGTATTTTAATATGCATACATAGAAGTTGACTACCAATTTTTAGAAAAAGAAAATTAAAGATAAAAAATGTATATATAATGGGAATCAAATACAGGTATTTAGAGTCTTGCGCTTGGCTAGATCTATTTGATGAAATATTATATACAATGAAAAGGTGTTCTGAAAAAAAATTATGAATTAGGTTGAGACCATATTTCGGGTCGGGAATAGGTGAAAAAGTTGGATGTCAAAAGCAACAGGCAACAAGCATCTACATGAAGCGACGATGATGCCGGTACTTTCAATCTCCTTGTTTTTGCGAAACTGGTGAGTCTGACAGAAACTAGGAATAGATCTAGATGAACATGATACGGCCAGTTTTGTAATTTCTATCATTTTACTTGTTTGTGTTTCCTAGCGATTGTATAATTTTGGAAGTTGAAAAGTCTTGAAAGTGACAGCCATTTGGGATGGGATGCCTTCAACCCTCAGGGTGAACACCGTGTCACTATCAGTGTTAACAACAGTAGTTTACCAGTCAACTCGTGCTAGATATGTGATATGATCAACCATAATATCCGTTGTATTGTTGATCGTTGAATATGATTCATATATAAAATTTTGCAACAGTCATAAACAATTCTAAGGAGTCAGATGTAATAGATTGGACGTTCTGAAAGAATTGAATACCCACATCGTCAATCCAAAATGATCTAGGAAAAAAGTTATTTTTCATGTCTTTTGAAGCAATTTAAGCACTATTCCTTAAAGTTACACTGTTCTGGTAGTTACAGAATATATGTAGTGAATCACCCACAACAGTCATTTTGGATTTATCAGGTTTTTGAAAAGTGTGGCTATAATCAATTGCACGGATAACTAGAAAAAAAAAAAAAAAAAAAAAAAAAAGAGACTTGCAGGTCAGAACTACATTGAATTATGTTAAATTGCTTGATGACTGTAGGGTAAGCCTTGAATAAACCTCAGTAAATTTTAACACTGGTAGCTAATTTATTCCTTTCTGAGATTCCTCAAGTTGTCCCTTTTATAATCATATTACAAAGTAGTCAAGTTAATTCAGGTTACATGTATATGCTTCAGGCCTGTAGCCAGCAATTTCATATGGGGGGTTCGTTTTCTGAAAAAGTGGACCTTTTATCAAAAAAACGTTCATGTACCTAGATCAAATTTTATCCAAAGTGGACCTTTTCCTAGCAAAAAGGGCAGTTCTTTCGAACCCCCCAAACCCCCCCTGGCTATGTGCCTGTGCTTTCATATACTATCCCCGTTTATGTTTTATGTACCGGTACTTACTATACATTCTACTTTCAAATTTAGCTTTCTGATTTATTTTTAGGAATGATTTGCTTTGCAACATCAACTATGAGGACAGCAGATAAATGAAGCTATAACAACAAAATGCAGACTAATTCAATTATTAATCATTTCCAAGAAGAACTTGCTTATCATGAAACCTATGCAGCAGAGAAAACAAAAGGTACAAGTCCAAGGGGTCAGGTGGTCAAATACATCCTGGCTCACATCAACTATAATGATAAACCCCAGAAACCTTATATTGTTCATGGAACATCAGGTTGTGGTAAGACTGTCACACTGGCCCAGCTGGGGAGACATCTGAAAGCTAAACAAAAAAATACCATAGTAATCCAAAGGTTCATTGGCATATCCCAGAGAAGCTCCTGGCTTCATGACATTTTGATCGGCATCCAAATTGAGCTATGTAAAGAACTGAACCTACCAGTGCCAGAAAACAGAATATTCCACCAAGTAGATAGAACTTTGAGAAATTTTGATGAGTTGTTGAAAGAAGCCAGTAAAGTGCTTAGGGGACAGAAGCGGAAATTGGTACTTGTCCTGGATGGGATAAATGAACTGCATTCTACACCTGGTATGGATTTTGTAAGCTGGGTCCCTTCTTCAGTGCCATCTATGATCTCCTTGGTGCTCTCAACTGATCCAAATGAACATGGAGTGCTGGAGAAACTTCTGCAACGGATCCCAGATGAGAAAACCTACCTGCAAGTCGCAAGTTTCACAGAAGATATGATAGTAGAAAATCTTGCTCGGTGGCAAAATGATGTAGAAAAGAATTTAACAGAAGAGCAATTTGAGAGTCTTTTTGAGTTCTTTGCCCATTGTAAGACACCACTGTATGTGAAGATGTGCTTCAATACTGTAATACACCAGGTTCCCAATCCTGAGGGCCAAAAGAACAGTGAGGAAGAAAATCCAGTCTTATCCAATACCCTCCGTGCTGCTGTGAAGGATTTTTATAAAAGATTAGAAAGGAAGTATGGTACTGCTATGGTGTCACATGTACTTGGATATATGGCATTGGCCAGGTGAGTTTAATCTATTGTTTCATTGCAAAACTGCTGAAGTCCATCATGTTTTCAAGAACAGATCAGAAAAGATTGTCTGACTCTGCATCTAACTAAAAGGAGATAAGAACATGCTTTCAGTGATGCATTTGAACAAAAAGGCTAGTTAGAATATTTTGTTTGTCCTGATTGCTTTACTGTAGTTTTTAAACAAAATTAAACAGGAACAATACAAAGTAAATTGGATTGACTTTACAGCAAGATCAATTCTGAAGCAGTTAAAAAATCAATTATGACTGTGTAATTATTACTCCAGTTAATAGAATGTAGACAGATATTGATCTTGCTTAAAGTCTAACTGTGTTTTGTTATGGCTCCTAATAGTTACTGCCTAGTGACTCAAACAGAGCTACTTGTCTAATTTAATTGTGTATGGTAATTAAGAAATAAAATATGTGTGAATATGAATTTTTAAAAACATTTTACATATTTACAAATGGACTGTTTCATAGATGTTTGATTTGGTGATTCATAACAAAATGAAACATTATTATTTGATTTAGCAACCTTTTCAAATAATTTTTTTTGTTTAAATTTTGTACTTAGTCTAATATTTCTGTACTTACCAAAATAACTTTTATTAGTATATGAATCACATACTAGCATAGGAGTTAAAAAAAATTCAAGTTTGAAAAATAAAGTTTGAATTTTTATTGATATCATTTTATGTGTAGGTATGGTTTGAGTTTAAAGGAACTTGAGAACCTGTTGAGTGTGGATGATGCTGTGTTAAGAGAAGCAGGGAGATCTGGGGCTAAGAGTGATGCAGACAAACTGTGGAAAGTCCTGGAGAGCTGGCATGGTCTTCAACAGGAACTCATTACTAGATTCCAGATACTGCGGGAAAAACTGGCGTATGGAACCAAAGTTTACAGCTTCACTCAGAGGTTGGTATCAGTTGCTATTGCATATTCCTTATACTTTTATTCATTATAGATACAAATATTTTTGTAAAGTCGGGTTCATGTTACAGATAGATGAACCCCTCTCAGTAGACAATTTGATTAAACCATAGGTAATCAGGTAATCATAGGTAATCACTTCTCCCCCACTTACTACTTTCCCACAGTAAGTTCGCATTTTGAATTTTATGCTAATCAGTATCTTACACTTGTAACATTCTAGTAATTTTTAATTACAAAGCTTGGGTAAAGATCACATTTCTTGCTTGCAGTTCATAGTTTATTGAGCAAAGGTGAGTATCATCTTAACTTCCATAAACAAAGCTTTGTGACAACATTATATACCTTTTGTTTTAACTGTTTTGATAGTGCATGGATCTTTTACAGTGTAACACAATATAAAGAATAATATTTGATTTAAAACATATCGTATGCAGTAAACTCATGTATATTCCTGCTTAAGTATATAATTTAAACATTAATAATCATAGAGCAGACACCACCTGATCTGAAAATATTTTCACAGCAAATAATTACAGTGAGTCTAACCAATAGTTAGATTATACAATAATGCTTAGTTATTGGATATAAGTTGAGGTTCTTTTGTGCCTTTCTCCAGTGTTTTGGTAACACCCACAATGGCTTGTTATGGTATTGGGTGATAATTGCCTGCAATAAGTTGTAATCAATTTCATCAAAAATCCATGCATGTGTTAAATTGATCTGCAATAGTTACTATGCACCATTGGAATGCTTAATCATTCTTATTTTCATCAGTGTGGCTAGTCCATAACTTAATTGCATATTACTGTAGTAGTTTTTTTGCATAGATTCCTTGAAGAAAATCTATAAAATTCAATGTTTAATGCATACAATAGATGGGACCATTGTAAAGAATATAGATACATCTGGTAATTACAATCAGATCAAGTAATGTTTAAAAATCCAATTTTAAAGATCTAATTAACTATGTTTGAATTTTAAATCACCTACAAACAGAAATATTTGCACAAAACAGGCGGATTTAGGCCGTCTTCTGGGTCTTCTGGAAGACGGTCAGATTTTCAAGTTTACATTGAGGGGTATCTAATTTTTTATGTTGGAAGATGGTCAAAAATGGAGGATGGATCAACAAAGATAATTTGGAAGACTGTCAAAACGTATCTCTGGATCCGCCCCTACAAAAGTTGATGACTTAGGGAATGATCTTTTTGCTGAGAAAGCAAAAACTTTGATTGATATATATATATGATGCTGCATATGCTCATAATTAAACCGATTGTGCTACGTATACACACTATATATGCCACTTCTTTGAAAATGACTTGTTTCATTTATGCTTAATCCATTAATCAGTTTTAAAATATATCTTTTTATTTGTTTGATTAAATATTAAGATTAATTTTTTAAATGCAAATTTAGAAATTAATACAATATTTGAGCATAGGAAATAAGAATCATAGAGGAACTCTTACAATTACACTGTTTTCAATGAAAAATTATGGTCAGAGTTCTAACCTCAGATCCATTTTTATCCTTTTTTTTGTATAAGATATATATCATAAACAAATACAGCCTGAAAATTGTTTTCCCCATATATATACATATGTGTATACACTATAGATAATACTGTTGTTTTGTTTTACCAGGCAATATTTCCAGGTTGCCATGGAATGCTACTTGGATGGTCCCCCAGAGTCGCCTAGCAACCGTAGCTCACTGCTACGGAAAATGTCAGACTTCTTTCTCTGGGTCTGGAAACAGGAGCTGGACAGGTTCCATAGAGATGAAGAGGATGGGCACACCAGCTTTGAAAGTGATGAGTTTTCAGCACTTGGGCCTGAACACCTGTGGAATGTCAGTGACCTCCCATACTACTTGTTACACTCTGAGAAGAAAGAGGACCTTCTGACAATAACCTTGGGTAACTTTTTTTGGCTCTTTGCCAAAAGCAAGATCATGTCTTTGACGGAAGTCATTAATGACTTTAACATAACTTTGGAAATCATGAACCATCCTGAGGTGGAGATTTTGAGAGAGAGCTTAATTTGTGTACAGGAAAGGCTTGACGCAAATGACAAAGGGACATCACATTTTGCAACGAGCCTCTTGGGCCACATACGCTCCCTTTCCAGTGCCTTTCCCAGTGTCATAGGCAGAGTCACCAAGCAAGCTCTGGACTGGTGTCTCAACAGGGCATCAAAACCCTTACTCATCCCAACATCAACCTGGCTTGATGCTCCCATTGGGTATCACATTGGGGTAGCTGGTTTACCTCCAAGAATGGTCACTGCTGCTAGCTTGTCCAAGGATGGGAAAAGGCTGTCCCTGGCACATGATGATAAGACTGTGTCAATATGGGAAACTTGTGATGCTTGCGAGATGCTACTTTCAAAAGTTATGAAAGGTATGTGCATAATGTATTTGATGTAGAGACCTGGGTTATAATATGATAACATTATTATTTAAGACTAATATGTTCATAAATGATTATGGAATTGAGAGTTGATGTGATGACCATTATCAGGTTTTGCACTGTGTTAGAATTTTTATCAAATTGATTTTAAGCTTTTTATTTTTATTTATTTATTTAATCTCTTTCAATGAACTGATAAAGCAAATTTTGTTGATACAAAATTGTCTTTACTTTGTAAATAGATAACCCTTGCTTTTATGAGTAAGCAGTATGTTTTATAAGCAGTATGTTTTATAAATCTGTTGACATGTTCTTCAGATCCAGTGTCTGCTATCAGCCTTAGCGATGGTGGAGACCAGGCAGCCATTTTTAGCAAAGATGGCCTTACAGTGAAAATTTTAGACACCCATCATTTAGACACAGATGAAGAGTATGTGGTATTTCACCAAAAGTCAGATACCATTGCCTGGGAGACTACCTCAAGGTGGACTTCTTCAAAGAGGACGAGGCTTAAGATGAGTGCAAACAGTGAGCGAGTCCTTCTCCTCCATGAGAATGTCCTGTATGTGGTGTACCAAGGCCAAGGAAGTGCAAAGAGAGTCACTGATGGTGTCTCCTGCTTCCAGATTTCAGTTTGTGGCCAGTACTTAGTCACTGGTCATTTTAAGGGCAGTGTCAGCGTCAGGAGCATGGTGGACAGGAAAGTACTGCACACATTGGACAAACACGGTGATTGCGTTAGTTGTGCCTTTGTCACCAAGGAGAAGGTGTGTGCTACAGGGGGACATGATGGAAAGGTGGTGGTGTTCAACCTGGAAGATGGAAAAGTTGTGCATGAGATCCTGGGCAGCAAAACCAGGGTTCAAGATGTTGCTATTGATCAGTTTGGACTGTGTCTTGGTGTTGCTGCTGATAGCGCCATCTCTTGTGGGACTTGGTCAGCGGGGAATGCTCTTATGTCTTTGAGCAGGCACACCCAGACCTTGTGCATACAATTCACTTTGCATCTTCTCCATCAGATACTGGTATTCCCCAGGATGTACTGGTCTCTGCTTCTAGGGAAGGAGGCGTGAAGTTGTGGAACCTCCGAGAAGGAAAAGGTGTGATATGGTTTAAATAAATTAATGATTCAAGGAGTGCTTGTGTGTCATATACATGAATTTAAGCATGTTAGTATAAACAAATTAATGGTATATGCATGTGTGTAAAAGTAAAGGTATATAATGGTATGTGTGCATCTTGATTAGCCTAAATATTCACATAGTTTACCCTCCCAAGTAATACATGTGGTAACTTTATCCCTACTGTGCTTTCTTGTTTTAATTTTGTTTCTTCAAAATAGGATAATTTGGAAAGTGATACAGATTACTTGTACAAGTGAACTGTTTATAACACTATCACAGTGTCATATGTTTTAAATTATTCAATAAGATATTTCTTACATGTAATAGGTTAGAGAGCATGCAGTTATAGTAAAATCTTTGTATCTGTCTTTGTAGCAGTATGCAGAGATGAGCAGTCAGAATTGAAAAACGGAGCCCATCATTTGACTCATCCATTTTTTTTTCAGTGCTGAAAACCCTGATGGTGTCTTGTGATGAACTGTCAGTTTGTGGGGAGGCCATGATGACAAGATGTGAGGAGGAGATGGAGGTCCGTCTCTGGACTCTAGAACCTTTGCAGTGCAGTGTGGAGAGACAAGGGTAAGGAATACATTTACTGAAATAATATGATTATGAAAATGTTAAATATTTACAAAAAGAGAAAAGCAGCCTGAGAGGTTTGTCACCCCTTTCTCATTAAAAAAGATGTTATAATCATGATTTGACTGTCAATACATATAGTCTGAGTATTTCATAAGTACAGAGGATGGATTTGTATATTCATTGTTCTCAAATCCCTCTTCTGGACACAATTTTCAACAGTTACTGATTTAACAGATCAATTTGTCAATTGACAGTTTAAATTTATTTTATCAGATAAAGGTAATTCTTGATAAAATCCATCACAAAAATTCCTGTTGTTTATAATTTGTTATACTTGTTAAAGTACATATACAAGCTACTGTACTTTTTGTCTTTTTAATGTGCACTTTTGAATATTTATGATTTCATGCTTCCTGTTGTATCAGGTTTCTTCCAGGTTCTGGTTTGAAGCCTGTATTAGACAAAGAAGGCCATTTTGCCTGTGTACAGAGCAGGGACAGATATTTTACTGTGGCATCAGATTTAGCAAACAATACCACCAGGCTTCTAAAGGCAGCTGGACCATCTAAAGATGTCAAACCTCTAGCTTGTGCACAGGTATTTATTTGATAAGTTCTTTATCTTCTCTACATTGTATATTTAAATCTAGCAAGCTTCAGAAAAATGAAGCAGCTAGCTTGAGTCTACTTATTCAAGGAGTTATGCAAAAAGCTAAATGAGAATTTGAAATTAAAAAAATAATATAGTGAACATGCGTTATCTGTCAATAAACTTCCTCTTTTTTTTTTTTTTTTGATGAATTGCCACCACTTAGTTTAGACGACAGATTTAAAATGGAACCCGGGATTTTAGCAATATTAAATTTTCTATTTATGAATAATATAAGTCTACATTTATGAGTTTTAACTGAAAGAGAATCAGATGATGAGATGTTAAAAATTGGAATATGATAACTGCATTCAAAGTCCTGGTTGTTTAAGTATTATTGTTTACTAAAAGACAATCTTCATATTGATCTATCATGTTTGCATTAATATGTGTAAAAGAGACACCCACTAGGAATATGAAAAGAAAGCACACACCTTAATGAATATAAATGTGTTTGTGTTTTGATCAAGTGCACTCACTATCCACTTTATGCTTTGAATGTCTCATGTATTTCAATATAATTTAGGTGGCAGAAGTCCATGTTCTGGTCAGCATCAGTAACAACCGTACAATACAGCTGTGGTGCATAGAAGAAAACCAACTGATCAGGACTTTTGACCTCAAAGAAGAAATGGTGTTTTCTAGCTTTTGCCCAAGAACATCTCAGGTTCTCTTTTCTTCTAAGACTGGCCGAGTTGAAGTCTTGGGAATGTCTAGGAATCCAGAGCCCCCAAGGCACCTCAAAGAAGTGACAGTAAGTGGCACCAAGATCTTGCACCTTAGAGGGGATGCCATTTTTTACAACCAAGCCAATGTGTTACATTTTTCATCTGTGGCAAGACCCAAGCAGAACATTAGGTTGCGTTCACACAAGTTTCATGTTTCCAAGGTGTCTGCCTCAGCTGACATAAGCACGGTGGTATCATACACCCCAAAGGAGGGACTGTTTGCCTGGGATACCAAAGCAGGTAAAGTCAAGGGAAAACTAGGCATGGAAGGAATCAAGGTGCACCACATGGATCTTATGCTGGATGGGAAACATGTTTGGATGGCGTCTGGAGATCAGATTCTTATGTTTGATCTGAGCACAGGGCGTCAGGTCATCCAGCAGATGGCGCCAGGTCAGGTCACCAGCCTCAAAGTGGTGGATCAGGAAGTGGTGGTCACTACCAGTGCGGGAAATGTTGGCCGTTTTTCAGCAGTAAACATGTCTGCTGCCAGGTCCTCAAGTTTCTACAGCTTGGGGAGAATGTGGTGGCAGGACCCTCCTTCAACAAATTCTACCTCTTTGACAAATGGTAGTGTGAATAACAATCAAAAGACAGGCTCTAAATCACCCCGAGATTCAGTTGGTGCTAGGAGCGCAGAGGTAGCTGGTGAGGCAGAGCAAATGAGTGCAGCGTGTGTTATTCTCTAACATGTAGGATAGCACCCTGAGTTTTGATGGGTACTTGTTTTACCTGGAATCCCATACCCAATTCTCTGTGAAAGAATTTATTTTTTATCCTGTAATATAAAATTTCTCAACATGAGAGGGTGATCCACAAAATAATTTAACTATTTGCTGTTTATTATTTTTTATTTTTTCAGAACGAATCATTTTGAAAATATTTTTTTATATTATTTTTTTTCAGTTTTTGTAGAAATGAGTTATTTGTTGCTTTGTGACAATTTGCCTGTGCTATATTTATCAATATTTTGTTTTTATGCTTTTAAGCTGCTGTGCCAATGAAGGGCATTTTTTGTCCTTCACGTATGCATTTTCATTCCATTGTGCAATAACGATTTACCAGTATTCTGACTTCAAAACTAAGTTAATATATGTTAAATGTTCATGTTTCTGTCATGCTGTAGGAGAGCCCAGTAAGCTATGTATCCACGTGGATGCTGAGTAACATAACTGATGTCCTTATTCTTGATATTTTTCTTACTGCGTTTGTTAGAATTTTAATGGTACACTGTATTTCATATGTTTATATTTGGATTTTACAGTAGACATGATGTGTTACTTGGTGCATTTTAATCAAAATCACTATGACAGTTTTTACTTAGAAGTTAATGCTTTTGTAAAATTGATAGTATTGCTGTGATTGTGTTTTTCTACTAAGTTTATTTGTATCAAGACAGACCATTTTTGTGGTTATTTAATAAATTTAATGTCAGTTGTATTTTTATAGTGATTATCACTGTAAATGGATTTGTTTGTGCGATTCTAAAAAAAGTGCCTTAAAATAGTTATAACTTGTACAACAGTTATTGTTATAGTTTGATATGTTCCTGTGTAGTTATGGTGTGACTGTGTTATTGACTTTTTGATTTCCAAGAAAAAAAGACATTCTACACTGTGATATTATTAACATTTACATTAGAGTTGTGATAATTGTCAGTTTTACATTTCAGTAAATATTGACGAGTATCTTTGTAATTTTGTGCCAAATAAAAACATTAAACATTATGGGCGATTTTTTATTTTGCTTCATTTTAGCATGTCACTTTAGATCATATCTTTGAATTTGATTTATTTACCGGATTTTGTCCGTGTTTAGATCAAGATTTATAACTTAATTTGATAGACTAGTCAGTTGTTTATGAAAGGTATAAAACGGATTACTGATACGACAAGGTGACGGCATTTACTTGGAAAACGTCCATTTTCAGAGCTATTAGCTATTATTTTAAAACGCATTGGAGGCTATAATCAGAAAATGTTTTTAATCCCTTTAAAATTGGTATGGAATGTAAAAGGTGAAAAAAAATCTAAATGACTCCGGTTGAGATAAGTTTTGGACTCGGGGATTTCTTACACATTTTGTTTCACGTATATACCGGTACGATGAGTATGTGGTCTTGCTAGCCTTCCAAACACTCTACCGTCGATTTTATATTGACAAGGAAAAATAAATTCATAGATATACCTGTATGCGGCGTTTATTATTCATCTTGATAATAGTTGTCAGCCGATATTGTACTGCAGTGTTTATTATGGTCGAACAAAACGCCACAAAACTATCTATGTTAGTGTTGTTAAAACAAAAGCTTCATGTTTTGTCTTAAAGGTAAAACAGTAGAGGCGGACAATGTGTGTTCAAACAGTTGTAACTGGCTTGTAGACATTTCATCCTTTCTTCCTTGTTTTCGTTTGGCGACAGAGGCCCATATGATGAAAATACAGTAGTTGCAGATATATTTTTCACAGTCGAAGCTTGGTGGTACATAACAATCAATGAAGTATTTTACATCAGTACAAATAAATATTTGAAAAAAAACTCGCATTGTCTTTTGCTGTGAACTACTGTTTATCAAATCCATTCTTCGTGACTTGCTGAAAATCTGACTGATATTTCCCTTTTCCTTTCACTACAGTGTACCTCTTTTCAAGCATCTTGTTTCAAATAATGAAATGTCAAACATCAGCACCCATGTTTTTTATATAACATATCCAATTATCACCTAGCGTTACATCAGTTAAGAGGTGACTCCGATCTCCCAACGTTTCCTTCATAGCCAGTCGCTCCTTGCTCTGGTTTCAGTGAATTGGCGCGATCCGAGCGAGTCCATGCAATGGCTGCAACTTGCATCTTGCCAACCTTTTCGGCACGTTTTCTCACTTTTTTCTTTGCTTTTCGCACGACAATTTTCTTCCTGCAGGATTCGAAACATTGAAGAAGATCCAAAAATATGAGGCAACCAAACAGTAAAGCAGCCACGCCAATTGTGATCCCCAGGCCCATGCCAGCAGTTGTAGTTACAGACGGAGCGGTAGTGGTAACTAGAGTTGTAGCGTTCACTGGCGCCATGATGCACTGTGGAGGAGTAGGTTATCAAAGATCGAAAAAGATATTTCGATCGTTCATGCAGTAGGAAATGACGAATTTCAAAATTTTATAACAAACCCATTTCTACTTTGCCAAAGACCCGCTCTTATTAAGATCAATGTAGCTATGTCCACGACCGGTTGGCGTTTCCAAGAACTGTTTCCGCTGTAAAGACAGAACCGTCTTGAGTAGACAAGCAGTTATGTTATTGCTCTGTAGTTTACTGATTTTATTGGCTACTGTCCAGTATTCTTTTTGATAGAACACAACTAGTAAAACATCATCTCACTCAAAGTACATTCTTTCCGGACAAACATGACGCACGGACATTCCGTCCATTCCCTTCGCTGCTCATTGGCAAAGTTTACCGATTCAATGCTCATTTCAAAATAATATTTCTCCTTGCATTTGTTTACCATAAAGACGAAACACCAAATTCCGGCGAGTCTTTCCTTGAAGACTAGGTACTCGTATCTCTGAGAGTT